GCAGGTTTTGAACTTTTTAAAAATGTGTTTTCTACTCAGTTAAGAATTTTGGGGTTTGGATGGCGGTTGTTCAAGGTACTACTCGTGGCCCTTGAGCCGTACGTTGTCTTCATCTGATCTGCAGCTTTACTTCTCAGCTACAGAAAGTTATTTTTCTGCTGCAGAGCTGCAAAATCCCTCGAGTCTCACTTCTGATGAAACTAGAGAATTTGCTGAAGTGAACATTACGGTGGGATCTCCTGGTGGCCATTTTAAGGGACTAACTGTTTGAATTTAAGTCATACTTTCCTGATCGGTCATTACTCTATCCTTAGGACGGAGCCCCATGCACCTTTAGTCCTGCAGCCACTTGCTCACTGGTTCCTCTTTGGTTGATTTTCAGCAGAAAATGTGCAGAAAGTAAAAGTCTGTTTCCTGTTGACATCTTTGGCTGAACGTCTGTTGTCACTCAATGTCACAATTTGAGCTTCTCTGCTGCGAGAGCTCGTGTTGTTTACATGGTCTTGGTGCCCAGACCGGCAGCATCATGTGTGTAATTTTTAACCTTGTATGATTATGTGACCGTGTAGACAGAACTACCGGTGAATGATTTTCATGAGTCTCCCAAACGTCTAGTGACGTTTGCAGAGTTGTCAACTTCAAGTGAGTCAGAGGCGAACAGCCTCACCGCCTGTGCACAAAGTTTCTCTCCAAACAGTTGTGGGTGACCAACTCATGTCAAGAGCCCTGGAGCTCTACTTGGACACCAGCACAGGAAAACCACAGTGACTATGAACAATAATGATTAAAAACCAGTCCAACTCCGCCCATCTTCATTTCAAACGTGGTCGCTAGCAGATTAGCCAACGTGGGGAGATGTGGACAAGAGTACGGTTTCATCTGCTGTGATTTTCCTGTGTACAGTTCACTGGTCGCCGACACTCAGAGCAAGGTGCAAGTTTCCTGCAAGTTTGTCTCCTGACAGTCAGAACCATCTCACTGAAAGCAAACATGATTTGTAATGTTTTATGGTCTGAGACTTTTCTGCACCATTCATATTATTGTCACTATTTTCAGTTCTCAGATTATCTGGAGTCACTGAATCTTGTTAATACACCTGAATCTGTCCATCACTGCAACTTTCACTGTTTTTGGGTTCTGAATGATCGCGTCTTCATTAATGTTTCTCATGGTTCAATTATGGGGGCTAATTGTCACACTGTTATCTCCTGTAATTACACATCAGTCATGAAAAACTCAAGAAAATGTCTGATAATAATGTTGTTACTGCTCTCAGGGATTCAGCCCAACCCTGGACCCCCCACTATGTATATGACACCAAATGACTTTAAGAACGTGTCTGGGCTTCATTTTCTGCATGTAAACGCTCGTAGCCTTCTGAGAAAACTTGATGCCTTGAAAATTCTGGTCAGTTCTTCTGAGGCAGATGTAATCTTCATCTCTGAAACCTGGCTCAACAGATCTGTTCTCAATAATGACCTGACAATCAATGGATTTAACATCTACGCTGTGATCGTCAAAAAAGGGGGGGTGGAGTCGCTGTTTACATCAGAGATTCTCTGGTTTCTAGTCCTGTGTCTTCTAAAACAATTCCAAACCAAACTGATGCCTTAGTTGTAAACATCACTTTGAATGGAGGCCAGACCTTATCTGTAGTCTGTTGTTATCGTCCCCCCTCAGCAACACCTGAGGCTCTGTCCTCCCTGATGGAATTCCTTGGAAAATTAAAATTCAAAGAGATTTTTTGGCAGGAGATCTCAACATTGACTGAGGTAAGTCGACCCCCCTCTGTGAAAAATTCAAGGAATGTTGCCTGTCTCTCAATCTAACGCAACTGATCAACTCTCCGACTAGACTAAACAAAATCCATCCTGAAAAATCCTCCATCTTAGACCTGTTTCTAACTAATGTGCCTCACAAATTCCCTGGTACAGGTGTATTCGCTGATATTTTGAGTGATCATTGTGTGACAGCGACTCTGAGAGATATTAAACTTCCACCTTCTAAGCCCAGATTAATTAAAAAAAGGGATCTGAATCATTTCTGTGAACAGTCATTCCTCTGGGATCAGTCTCACTTTGACTGGCATCGTATTCTGTTAACTGATGACATGAACTCTGCTTGGAACTATTTTCATAATAGTTTCATTTATTTTGTGAACAAACATGCTCCTTTTCGTCAGTTCGGAATAAAGGGACGAGACAGCCCCTGGTTTACTCCAGAGCTAGCTGACCTCATGCACAGGAGAGATCATCTTTGGGCCACAGCGAGAAAATCTGACTCAGACACTGATTGGTTGAGTTTTCAACAGATGAGGAATAAATGCACAACTGCTGTCAAAGCAGCAAAACGCAACTATTTATCTCAGACCTCCAAAAATCTAAATGACCCTAACAGATTCTGGAAAACCATCAAATCTCTCTCAGGCACCCCCCAATCATCTGACCTCCCATCACAACTTCTCGTTAACTCTGTTCCTGTGTCAAATCAGCACAAGATCCTGAACTGTTTCAAACATTTTGTTGCTTCTAGTTCTTTATTTGACACAGTTACTAATGGAAGATCAGCCACTTCCCCTAATAACCAAACTTCTACAAATCAAATCCCTCCTACAAGTCAATCCTCAGTTAATCACAGCTTCTCTTTTTCTCCATTCTCAGTCAGTGAGGTCAATAAACTGTTCAAAGATCTTGATCCTAAAAAATCTGCAGGTCCAGATGAACTTCCACCTTATTTCTTAAGGCTGGCTGCTCATATCATCACAGTCCCTGTGACCCACATCTTCAATCTCTCCATAAGACAAAACTCCATCCCAGACACTTGAAAACAGCCTTTGTTCTTCCTTTGCTGAAGGGAGGTGACCCCCCCTCACTGAACAACTATGGACCAATCTCTAAACTCTGCATTTTAGCCAAGGTTCTTTTTCAGAAACAAATCCTGTCTAACCCTGAATGTTAGGAAACACCTTGTATCTGTGACTTTCCTTCCCTCCATTGATCACGGTGACATTATTTACATGAACGCTCCTACAAGAACCCTGCAGATGTTGGATGCTGCAGATGTTGGATGCTGCAGATGTTGGATGCTGTCTATCATGGTGCACTAAGATTCATAACTGGCTGTGATTATCGTACCCACCACTGCACCCAGTATTCACTGGTTAACTGGTCACCATTAACTTCACACAGACTCTCCCACTGGTACATTTTCATCTTTAAATCACTTCCTGGTCTGCTGTCTTCATACATCTCCTCCTACATGTCTCTGTGTGAGTGCAGCTACAGCGTGCGCTCTCAGGACATCATTACCTGCAGTGTTCCCTCAGTGAGGACTGAACTAGACAAAAGGACCTTCTCCTACTCCGCTCCTGTTTCCTGGAATATCTTGTAAAAAGACCTGAAGCTCTCGACCTTTGACCTCTCTAAGTGTCTTTAAGAATCTGTTGGACTCCTGGCAGGGACCAATGCAGACATATTCCTGTTTTTAGTTTCTACATTCACCTTAGAATCTAGCTGTTTTTATGTTGCTTTTCTTTTTTTTAGCCATCGTATTTGTTTAAAAAAAAAAAACTGGAGTATGACTTTTTTATAACTGTCTATTGTCGTCATCATTCATTGTTGAAATCAGGTCTCTCTTGTAAATGAGTCCTCAAGGCTCAATGGGATTTACCTGTTTAAATAAAGGTTGAATGAATGGAAACAACATCACTGTAGTGTGAAAAACATGTAGACTGTAAAGAAAAACACCCATTAGATAAATTCCACATTTGTCCAGAGTCCTCTCCTGTGAAGTTCTGCAGCTGCTTTCATGATTCACCTATTCCACAGTTATCTCCATTCAATGAGCAGAAAAGATCTTGTCTTTTTGTGTTGATCTCTGCACAAGAAATGGTTTCTGAGGACAAAAGGAAGCACAGAAGTGTAGTTTTTAAGACGTATTTACCTTCTACAGGTGACGTCCTGAGTCTGAGACACAGTCCGTTAACGCCTCCATAAGAGTCCTGGATCCTGGCGATGGCCTCCTCTCCTCTCAGCTCCATGAGCGAGCCAAGATCCTGCAGGGAGACGCTGAACTCCACCTCATGATTGGCCTCAGTACGGCGTACAAATTTGGTGCCTCGAAAGGAGTTTCTGGCCATGGCTGGCTTGTCGGGAGCTGGCCGAGGCCCGTCTAAACGATGTGGACTCAGTGGAAGGCCTGAGGTGCAGACGGTTCCTGACAGGGACGACGAGACTGTTGAGAGGATCAGAATCATTGAATCAGAGCGTGAAATGAATCAGTCACCGGGAGAAAAGTCTAAGAATCCTACAGAAGAAGAACAGAGGGAGGAGTTTTTATTTTATTCTCCTGTTCAAGGCAGCACAAAGTGAAGGATCCTGGAGAGTGGAGGAGACATTTTAGCTAGCAGACCGGTAACACAGACATGACTACGTCCTGTCCCCCCACCACCACCTCCACGTTGACAAAAAATAAAATATGACGAGCGCCCCGCCAAGAGAACTGATCCAGGGGAAACACTGAATGTGAACAGCTGGTTCTGGATGTCAACAACAAACTGGTTGATCCACCATGAGAAGGTGCTATTTATGAGACCGAGTTTGTTGCAGCTCCTCAGACTGAAGAAGTCCTTTGGATGAAAGATGTAATGTTTCAACAAGAAGAATTGTCCAGAGGACCTGACTGCACCTGGTTAGATTATCTGCCTGGATTATTAAGCAGCATCACTTTTAGTCCAAATTATGTCTGAAACAGCACCACAAAAGTTTTTACTGCATTCTGCACAGCAAGCACGTGTGTGTGTGTGTGTGTGTGTGTGTGTGTGTGTGTGTGTGTGTGTGTTTGTTTCAGGTTACCTTGTTGGGATCAATTTTACAAAAAAAAACACTCATTGTGGGAACCAGTTGCTCTTTATGGGACCAAAGCCAGGTCCCATGAGAAGTCCCGTCGGGGGTTAAAGGTTAGGTTTAGGAATAAGGTGTGAATTGTGGATGGGTCAGGGTTAGGCATGTACTAGTAATGGTCAGAGTTAGACATGTACTAGTAATGGTCAGGGTTAGGCATGTACTAGTAATGGTCAG